TATATATATATATATATATATATATATATATATATAACAATATGTACATTATGTGTAACATACACACGCATGCACACATATGTAATACATATATATATTACAAATTTCAATGGAAACTTATGAAACATATATTTTTTTTAATGTAAAAATCTATGCACTTATTCCTTTGGGCAGAAAAGGTCATGCACGCGTTCCTTTGGAGCTGAAAACGTTCATAAGTTAATTCCCAATATTAGTATTACCTCGATAGCTCGTACAATTGACATCAATGAATATCCGTAATATTCTGTGGCAGTTGAGATTTTCCGAATGCGTTTTCAGCATCTCGGGGCGAGAAAACAGCACTTTATAAATAGCGAGCTTAATCCGAGAAAGGGCGTATATGAAACTGTACGACTCTATTTTTTACTTCCTACCTCTCGACACATCCTATATTCATAGAACTAATGCATTATCGCATTATCATTTGTATATGTTCCGCGATATTTTCGTCAACTACAAATCCGCTGTCTTTTACGAAAAACCTGTTTTTACCAGAATAGCAGTTTCTCTTGTACGTCTCTTCTGGAATAATCTCTTCAATCCTTATTACATAATTAATCACACAAAATTACGGCACAAACATATCTCGATTCTAAAGTGCGGATACAAAATTATCTGTTTCCTACGCTCCTCTCTTTATTTATACTTATTTTACTGCGGGCATTCTCGGGTGAGGAAGTTCTCTGTGGGCGCGTTGGTGGTGGGAAGTTAGCCCCGTGCCGGGGGAATCCATTCGGGACGAAAGAGGCCGTTCCGGGCGGAAAGAACCGACGATCGCGCTCCGAATACATCGCTCGAGTGTTAGTGCGATAATGCACGACGGTGACTTCCGGCCGGGTGGCGTCCCGTTCGTTTAACGGTGATAATAAATTTGGCGCGGGTGTTTTATGCAAGGCCGCGCGCTCGCCCGCGAATTCCAGCGAATTTTCATCCATTATACCTGTCAGCCGCGCGCGGCCACGCTTATCTACTTGAACGCGCGTCCATTAAACCGCGATTTCTTTAAGCACTCTGATATAAATCGCAATTAAATCCGCATTCTTACATTTTTCGTCGCGCGTACACGATAAACGCCGTTATTTATTCAAATAACTCTCAGTTAATCCCCTTAACACCGAGCAGACTAAAAAGAAAAGAAAATTCCTACTACGATTTCACCGTAGTAGGAATTCAATGTAATTCTCGAACAGTTACTGAACACTTATGTTGACTTTTGTCTAGCAACTGAATAAACTTACTTAGGATCCTAATTACAAAATTTACCATTTTTCTTGTAGTTCTTGCGTACATGCGCAAAATCTGAACCCTATTGGACGGAATAAACAGGAAATCAATAAAAAATATTGAATTGATTAATAATCAAGTTTGCTGTTCACAAAATTGGCAGATTTGTTCTAGTAGTAGTGGAGACCAGGTCTAGTTGTCATACTTTTTACATATTGATTAAAAAAAAGATATATGCAATATTATATATGTATTAGGACCTTAACTTAGTTTCCGCCCAAAAAATACTGAGAAAAAGCATTTATTGTAAAAAATTTATTTAAATTATTTCAATGAAAGTATTTTCCATCACTTTCTACAACTTTTTGCCATCTTTCTGGCAACTGGGCGATACCATCTCGATAAAACGATGTTTGTTTCGAAGCAATCCATTCGTCCACCCATTCTCGCACTTCTTCAACATTTCGGAAGCGTGTACCACTCAA